AGGCAGAACTGAAGACTCAAGGGTAATTAGAAACACCCATCAGGAAAAGGTGTTGCCACCTGGGACTATGATTGGGTCCTGGCCTGTGCTGCCACTGGAGGCCATGTCCAGTTGTGTGACCCTGCTGCAGCAGGAGTCTGTTACCAAGGCCAGGCTGATGTCTCTGGTATGGCCTGCCACTTAGGGATATGTTGATGTCTGAGGGCTGTGCAGAGATGGGCCCATCACTTACCTGGACATTGTGGGAAAGCTGGCTCAGGGGACATGGAAGCAAGAGAGCTGAATCCACCCCCTGGAGAGATGTATTACTCAGGATTGTGGGCCCTGCACACCTCTGGAGTAACAGAAGAGTCCTGCAGCCCACTATGGGAGACTTAGCCCTACCTCTTATCTCTGCAATGGGTAGATCAGGTGAGATACTCTTCCTCCCTTTTGTTCTTGACCAGCTACAGCACTCAGGAGAAAGAGCCCTGTTCTACCTGTGAGCATCACAGTAGAGTTGACCATGGTGGTATACTGTGGGGCAAAACTGAGCCCAGCCCCAAGGGCATGACCATGGCAGAGTGAAAAGCACTTGACTGTCATGCAGTGACATACATGAGGGAGGGATGGAAAGATGAGTGGGATGTGGGTTTATGATGTGAAATTCACAAAGATCCAATACAAAATTAATTTTTTTAAAAACAAGTATGGAGAATAAGGACTTGGCAGTGCTTGTCTGTAAGCCCAGGACTCAGGAAGTAGTCAGTCTGGCCTACCACTACCTTGCTACTAAAAAAGGCAAAGAACATCATTTTACATAGACTTTGGAAAATAACGATTTTATTTGGGAAAGTAAAATGGCCATAACAAGATACCTACTTTAAAATAGATGTTAATGTGAAGTAAGGATTAAAAAAAACTGGAAGGAAGCATTGCTGCTGTGCTCTGGATAGGCTTTGTAATTAGAATCATGTTGAGGAAGAAGTGACAGGTTGACAGCCAGAGGACAGTGAGTGGAGCATCCCTGCATATCACTCACCGTCTGGGATCTCTCAGTGTTCAGTTGTACAGTGACCTCATGCTAGCTTATAGTACCAGGGAACACACAATGAAACCTCACACAAGAATCAAATTAATTACAAAGAAAACATCCAGGATATACTTATTTAGTCATAAATGAATATTGATGGAGTTTCTACTATTCACCAAAGGAAGTGGTCTCTGGGTCCCACTGCCATCAATATCACTCTGATACAAAGTTTTTAACAGTTCTCCTCATTTGACAAGTCTGAATTTTGTCTCAGCTTTCTCTAGGTTGAATGATCATAGCAACTTATAGAGTTTCTCTGAAATTTAATTTCCTTGTGAATAAAATGTTGGTTGTTATTAGTATTTATTGTAGCATGAAATAAGGTCACATTTTATAAGGCATCTCATAGTTTAGTGTAAACAGTGAGCACTAACTGTTTATGGTATACAGAGAGCACTAATTTATTCATTAATACAGCTACAGCTGTAATAGAACCACTAGTGAAAAGCAGGAATACAAAGAAAAGAAACTTAAACTCTGTAGATGTGCAAAAGACAAAGCAGGGACAGAAGCAGGAGCACACACCTGTGGTCTTAGTCACCCAGGGGGCTGAGCTTGGAGGATTGCTGGAGCCCTGGAGTTTGAGACCAACACACACAGCATATCAAATAAAACAATCAGATAAACAAGCATCAGTAACAAAAATGTCTGAGTGGAAATCAAGATATTTTTTGTTTTGTTTTTGGTTAGTTTTTCAAGACAGGGTCTCTCTGTGCAGCACTGGCTGTCCTAGAACTCACTCTGTGGATCAGGCTGGCCTTGAACTCAGACATCCACATACTGAGAGTTGGGATTAAAACCTTTGCCACTTACACCCCACAAGAGCATGCTTTAATGTATTGGGAGTCAGCTACAGAAATATAACTGTGTCTTCATGTGCTGTGTTACTCACCCCTATCCTGTGTGTGCCTCATTTCCACATCCAGACTTATTTTTATAAATGTCCACATTCAGAATCATTTCTAGAAATTTCCACATTCAGAATCATTTCTAGAAATTTCCACATTCAGAAACATTTCTAGAAATTTCCACATTGAGAATCATTTTATAAATACCTGTTTCATTTGCAATCTCTCCATCTGGACAAGGGAGACAATCAAAACAACAGAATGGTTTCCCTTCAACAGGTGTTTTCCTAAATCCAAGTGGACAACTCTGACTGCAAACAGATACAGGAGTCTGTATAGGGGACATGAGAGGAGGGAAGGCAGTCAATTCATGACATTCAGTATTAGCATCCAGATGGTAGATTTCAGCAGAACATTTGTGTACTGTAACAACCACAGAACTACCATCCTTTTAGAGAGTGTGAAGCCAAAGTGTCTGTCTGTCTCTCTCTTTCTCTCTCTCTCTCTCGCTCTTGTTCTCTCTTGCTCTCTCTCGCTCTCTCCTGCTTTATATTTAATGCAATTTTAAAGTTTACATATATCAAGTCCATCTCCTCCCCTATGTCTGTCCAGGTCCTCTCCCTCTCTCTCTCAACCCACCCAAATTTAAGTTCTTTCTCAAAAAACAAACTGAAATTCCCAAACATGACAAATTATGCAACTCCTAGAAAATAAAATACAAAAGCACAGAAAGATAAACAAAGCAAAAGAAAACTCGCTAATCTGCAACCAAATATTTATATATTGTGGATTCCCTTCTTGTTCGGCCCAATGACTACTGAACATGGTCCCTGGCTTGGCTCGGTTGATGTACCCAGGATTTCACATTGGTGTAAACTTATCATGTCTCTTGAAGACCACAATGTTCCACATTACTATGAATTACTCTTTTTATCAAATCACAGAGATGTTCATGGTGAACAATTCCAACAATAAGGATATGAACGTGCATATTGATTTAAAATTCAAATACAGAAATACCTGTTATGCGGTATTTAATCATGCTCTGAAACCTGAGATGATGTTATTTACTGAAAAAAAAATCTGTTTCTAGTTGTGGTATGGCTCAGCCCTAGAATACATCCTTAATTCCAAATAAAGAAGGTAAAGTTAGCTTGCAGAATGAAATAATCATGTTTGAAAGTAACTCCTAATTAAGGGGCAGGCAATAGAAGGACAGATCAGATGATAAATCTGACAGAATCTGTCAGAGATAGGGTACATCAAACTCTCATAAGAACAGACACAAAGAGATGCAATTGACCGGGGTCCTAGCTTCTACAGTCAGGTACTGAGGTGAGACACAGTGACAGATGAAGGACAAAGGCTGAAGACCTCTGGCCATTAACACTCTCTTACTGTTCTGGGGCCCAGAAACTGATGGATTCTGGCTATTTAACTCTCTCTATCTGGGGGTAGAAGCTGATAGCTTTGGGCAATTAACTTGGTTTTGTTCATTCTAGGCCAAAAGCTGAAGCCTTCTTGCAATTTACTCCTGTTGATAGCAGGAGGGGATTAAGAAAAGAAACTTAGTTACTTAAGCTCATTAGTCATTGACTGAGGGGTCTCTTGGTAGCTAGGCAAGAGGCTCAAAGTTGGTTAATACTTCCTGAACCAGAAAGGAAAGAAAGAAAGAAAGAAAGAAAGAAAGAAAGAAAGAAAGAAAGAAAGGAAGGAAGGAAGGAAGGAAGGAAGGAAGGAAGGAAGGAAGGAAGGAAGGAAGGAAGGAAGGAAGGGAGAGGAAGAGAGAGAAAGGGAGAGAGAGGGAGGAAGGGAGAGAAAGAGAGGGAGGAAGGAACGAACAAACGAAAGAGGGAAGGAAAAAAGAAAGGGAAAGGAAAGAAAGAAAGAAAGAAAGAAAGAAAGAAAGAAAGAAAGAAAGAAAGAAAGGAAGAAAGGAAGGAAGGAAAGAAAGAAGGAAGGAAAGAAGGAAGGAAAGAAGGAAGGAAAAAGAAGAAAGGAAAAAAGGAAGAAAGAAAGAAAGAAAGAAAGAAAGAAAGAAAGAAAGAAAGAAAGAAAGAAAGAAAGGGGGAGAAAGGAAGGAAGGAAGAAAGGAAGAAAAGAATGAAAGAAAGTCAAAGTAATGGACACAGACAGCCAAATGCACATTGGGCTACTCCAAGAAAGAGGCTACTCCAAGCCTTTATTTTTTGCTTTCAGTTTTTTATAGCATGTTCTATGTAAAAATCTTCTATGCAAAAAAAAAATTACCTCATACATAAAATGTTAAACAAAATGGCATTAATTACAGCACAAAGGAGATTCTAAGTTCAAAGCAGTGTTTCATTGTGTGACTTCATTATAAGTTCAAAGCAAGTTTCATATGGCCTTGCTTTTCCACAGTGAACACTTGTGGCCTATTTCTTGAAACAAATGCAGAAAAAATGTTTTTTCATTGATCACTAATTTGATCCAATCCTGTTTGTTTCCCTAGTACAATTAGTCTATAACACAGGTATATGAGCTCTATTTGTAACTTTTATTCTATAGGGCGCTTGAGAATATTTGTATCAATTTAGGAGCTCTATAAAATCATGACCAGCAATTAGGAAATGGTCAATTCATCTAAACTACATGGAAGAACACCTTCATATTGATTCTGCAGGAAATTGACCCAATGCAATGGGTAAATATCCAGAAAATCATTAAGCTATGTAATAGTGAGAGGAAAGAGAAGCAATATCTGAGTCAAAATCTCTGGGGTCGTTGCCTCTCAGAGTGTACCCATTGCAGCCACACAAAACTGTGGATGTCTTGAGAAATCTTAGCTCATTGTCAGAGCCTTTCCAAGATGGCTTCTAACAGCAACTTAAGGGAACAGGGCATGAGGTCTGGGGGCAGGGCATGCAGTGAGTTTTACTGGGACAGTTGTACAGGGACAGGTTGCCTAGAGAACAAGCTAGACACAGGTAAATGCAGAACCACCCATGTTTGAAAAGGAGCCAAAAGATTAGAACATATTGCCAAAGTTAGTATTAGGGCAAGCAGAGCAAATCCAGTCAGAAACTGAGAGAAGTCAGATTGAACCAATCAGCTTGGAGAAATGTTTGAGCCACAATAGCCAAGTTGAACCAGCCAGCCAGATCTCCAGAAGAGGTAGAGAGGGTGAGCTTATTCAGCATTAAGTCTCATGCTGTAAACATTCTAGAACTAGAATAGATTGTACTGAGACTAGAAGCATCAAGAAATAGGCTTAGGTTAGCTGATGGAGACAGTATGCCTCAGAGATGACAATTAAGTTCATGAAAATATAAGTTATATTTACAAATCCTTTTTTGTAGAGACTAATTTCATCCACACATCTTTATTTTATCTATTTACCAAAGGCAGTTACTTCCACTAAACTCTTGATCACTACAATCCATTCAGAAAACTACCCAAGATGTTTCTTTTTTCTTTTAAGGTAGGCCATAGGTACATCTGATCATTACAAGGATAAAACCATCTAAAGAATTAATCCAAAATGTATCAATAATTCTTTCAGTGATTCTGCAGGCAGAAAGTTGTGGTAATTAGCATTAGAAAGAACAAAGTAAGGGCACTCTCAGCCTGATGACACTCAGCAGTCCCCTTAACCCTGTTCTCTGAGGAATTCTACTCTGAGCATAGCACACAGTGCTGACTTCAGAGATACTCACCTGATTGTAGTGTTCACCCCAAGTTATGAGTTCATTATTTAGGGAAAGATGCTGAACACTGTGAGATTCAAAGACAAACTCGCCAACTTTCACTTGAGCTTTGGTACCACTTGGCAGAGATTGGTAATTAAAGATATCAAGCTTGGTTACCGAAACTTCCTTGTTCACAATGTCCTTCTCATTAGAGCTTCTCCCAAGTTGGCCCTGTTGTAAGAATGGATGGAGCTGAAAGAAAAAATAATGTTCAAAACTTGCACTGTAAGTCATTGAGATGCAAATAAACCTGGTTACTTTAACTGCCCTTTCTTTCACTCACTGAATGTTCCAGTGGCTTTGATTTTTGTTCCATTAATAAAACATTTACCATAAGGCTAATGGATGTTATCCAAGCATATATTAAACACATCTCAACATCAAAAATATTCGTTACCTAAGAGTAAAGAGTTGAGGAAAGTGTTTCTAAGCAAATAAACCTAAAAATCAAGGTAGTGTAGATATTCTAATATCTCAGAAAATAGACTTCAAATGAAAATTAATCAAAAGAGAGAAGGAAGAACATTCATACTAATCAAAGGACAAATCCAAGAAGATGATGTCTCAGTTCTTAACATCTATGCAACAAATATCTATTGACAAGTCTGTTAAAGAAATACACCTAAATTTAAAATCACACATCAATCTCACAGATTGATAGTGGGAGACTATAATACCCTACTCTTACCAATGGATGACACATCCACACAAAAACTCAATAAATACTGGAGCTAAGAAATGTTATAAACAAATTAGATATTACACCAGTAAGATAGCTGAAGGAGATAAAAAAAATACAAATAAGAAAATAAAAATTCAAGATATCATTATTTACAGATTATATAATAGTACACATAAGCAAACCCAGGGAGCTCATATCACTGATGAACATTTTCAGCAGTGTGCCTTGATACAAGATGAACTCAAAAAAATTAGTAGCCTTCCTATATACAAATGACAAATAGACAGAGAAAAAATCAGGGAAACAGCACTCTTCACAATAAACACAAAAATATAAAGTATTTTTGGGTAGCCAAATCCAGGAAGCAAAAACCTAGTATGAAAAAAGTTTAAGTCTTTGAATTAAAAAAAGAAAGAAGATATCAAAAGATGAAAATATCTCCTGTGGGACTGCAAAAGGGTATCTTTGTTCATGGCTGGGCATGGGCCTGGAACCCCAAGACTCCAAAGGAGAAACAGCAGGCGTTCGGCCTTGTGCCCAGAACCCAGAGTCCTGAAATGCAGTCTAGTCTCCATAGACCTACATTGTTCAGTCACATAGGCCATTACAACCCCTCCCAAAGTGCACAGGTAGAGGGTGTGACCATAGGCCTCAGGCCCTAGGGATTTACATACTAATGAAGGCCAGAGGGTGGAGCAAATTAAGCATTCTTCCCAGAACCTCCCCCTTTCTCCCTCCCTATGTAGCTCAGGTCTGCCCTGAGTTTTGGGGAGGTACATCCAAATCCATCCACCATCTACCATGAAAATAAACCTTTCTGGAACCAAGGACTTCCTCGTATCATTGGGGTCTGCTGTCACCAAAGCCTCCATCCTCTGGAACCTTAGAATTTCTCCTGTATGTGGGACCCGCTTCGTGGAAATCCACCAGAACCCCTCCACTGTGGCCCCTTTTTCCCACAATTTCCCATGCTCAGGAATCAGTAGAATTAACATAATAAACAGTTAAAAAAAAGAAACCTTCCAGAGGTACCACCATCCCTAATTTTAAAGTGTACCACACTGTTATCGTAATAAAAACCACAAAGTATTCTCATAAAAACAGACATGTTAAGCAATAGAATTGAATTGAAGACCCAGACTTAAATTCGAACACCTATGAACACCTTATTTTTTATAAAGAAGCCAGAAATATACAATAGAAAAAAGATAGCATCTTCAAAAATGATGCTGGTCTAAATGCATGTCTTCGTGTTGAAGAATACTAACAGATCCATAATAGCCCTGTGCAAAAGTCAAGGCCAAATGACAATCACAACATTAAAACAGATTTGAGGGGACACTGAACTTGATGGAAGAAAATGTAAAAAATAGCTTTGAAAATATTTATAACTGCCTATGAGTGCTACTTACATTCCCTCCCCAAAAAAACTATTTGTGTGAGAATATCTACACACAAATAGCTTCTGGGAACCTGTCCCTTGATTCTGATTGATAAATAAAGATGCTGAGAGCCTGTGTCTGAGCAGGGCAGACAGCTTTGAGACTCTTAGGATTCCCTGGCTAGGAATAGGGAAGAAAAAGAAGGAGAAAGAGATCCACCATGCCAGGGCAGAAGGTAGAGAAGAAAAGATGCCTTGACTGAGAAGGTTCAGGATGGAAACACAGCTGCCATGTAGGAGTCAGAGAGAGTACAGCCCCAGAGGGCTGCCTAACTGGGTCCAGAGCAGCCAAGGTAAAATGCAAAATGCAATAAAGGAAAACTCAGGATAATTGGAGGGAGGTGGATTATATAAATGGGGGTTAGGAGATGGTACAACCATTGAATTGTTTAAGGCATAGTATAAAGGCTGAGTGTGTGTCTTTCATTTGAGAACCCAGAGCTTTAGGAAAAGTAGTGTGGAGTGTGCTGCAAAAATTTATTTAATTATTTTAAATCTACACATACTAGCACAGGAGTTAACTTTCTAAACAGAACACTGATAGGCCATGAATAAATGGGACCTCATGACACCAAAAAGCTTCTTCAAGGCAAAGAACAACTTCGATAGATTAAAATGGCAGTCAACAGAATGGAAAATTGTTTTTTTTTTTTTTTTTTACCAACTCTAAATCTGACAGAGAGCTAATATCCAAACTATATACAGAACTGAAGATACTAGGCATCAACAAACCACCAATCTAATTTTGAAAATAAGGTACAGAGTTAAACAGAGAGTTCTCAATACAAGAATCTCAAAGGGGTGAGAAACATTTAAAAGTAATATTCAATATCCTTATCCATTAGGGAAATGCAAATCAAAACTTCTTTGAGCTTCCATCTTACACATGTCAGAATGACTAATATTAATAGTAGAAGTGGCAGCACATGATGGCGAGGATGTGCAGCAAGGGGAACACTCTTGCATTGACGGAGGGAGTGTAATCTTGTATAGCCACTGTAGAAATCAATATGATGGCTCATCAGAAAATTGAGAATCAATCTACCTCAAGATGGCTCAGAGACCTAGAGTAGAACCTAGAGTCATAGAGCAGTGCCTAGTCCAGTGTTCATTAGAAAGATTTCAACTTGCAGCTGAGGGGAGCCTATACAGACCAGAAGTCTTCAAACTCATGATCCTTCTCCTTCAGCCTCCCATAGGCTGGAGAACAGTCATGGATGATACTGTCTACCCTGATAGAAGCTATGTGTTCTTCTAGGATGTGTTAATCAAAACAAAACAAGTTATTGGCCTCAAATGTACCTAAAATCCCTTTAAGGGATGCCATATTTGTACTTGTACAAGTCTCTTGTGTTGTGTATTATAACTGCTTCACAAAACATTAAAAGTGGTAATAAAAAAGATGTAATGATTAAATAGCATATATATTGTTGTTTGAATGTGCCTAAATGAAGAAAACATTTTTCAACATCATTCACGTATTGTTTTCTAAAAGAAATGTTAGCTCAAGAATCCTTCTGGTTTCTGTCTGTGCCTGGAGCTGATCCTGTGCCACAGCGCTCCATATCCAAATATCACTGGAAGAGAGCTCATCTCCCAGATATGCAGGCACATCTGTGAGCACAGATAACACCAACATTTCTGCCCAAATTTCTGGCCCAAGAGGGACCAGCCTAGAGTCATTAGGACACAGGAAACAAGGAACAGCCAGGGACAGGATCCTTTACGTTTTCGTCTGTACCCAGGAGCCGATCTTGAACCATAGCTCTCCATATCCAAAGTCATCCAGGAAAGAATTGGTCACCCAGGAGTACTGACACGCAGGCTTGCAGGAGAAATAGGATAGAGTCAGAGATAACAAGACTAACTAAAACCAGAGATATTCAGATGGCAAGAGGCAAGGGCAAGAACATAAGCAATAGAAACCAAGGATACTTGGCATTATCAGAACCTAGTACTTCCGTGACAGTGAGCCCTGAATACCCCCACACACCAGAAAAGCAAGACTCTGACATAAAATCACACCTCATGATGATGATAGAGGACTTTAAGAATTCCTTCAAGAAATTCAAGATAATACATGTAAACAGGTAGAATTTAAAGAGGAAACACAAAAATCCCTTAAAGAATTACAGGAAAATATAACCAAATAGGTGAAGGAATTGAACAAAACTATCCAGGATCTAAAATATGAAAATAGAATCAATAAAGAAATCACAAAAGGAGACAACCCTGGAGTTAGAAAAACTAGGAGAGATATCAGGAGACATAGATGCAAGCATCATCCAGGGAATACAAGAGATAGAAGAGAGAAACTCAGGTGCAGAAGATACCAGAGACAATATTGACACAACAGTCAAAGAATGCAAAATGCAAAAAGCTCCTAACCTAAAACATCCAGGAAATCTAGGACACAATGAGAAGAGCAAACCTAAGGACAATAGGTATAGAAGAGAGCAAAGATTCCCAACTTAAAGGGCCAGCAAATATTGTCAACAAAATTATACAAGAAAACTTCCCTAACCTAAAGAAAGAGATGCCCATAAACACACAAGAAGCCTACAGAACACCAAATAAATCAGACCAGAAATGAAATTCCTCTTGTCATATAATAGTGAAAACACCAAATACACAAAACAAAGAAAGAGTATTGAAAGCAGTAAGGCAAAAAGGTCAAGGAACATACAAAGGCAGACCTATCAGAATTACACCAGACTTCACACCAGAGACTTTGAAATCAAGAAGATCCTGGGCACATGTGATACAGACCCTAAGAGAACACAAATGCCTACCCAGGCTACTATACCCAGCAAAACTCTCAATTAACATAGATGGGGAAACAAAGATGTTCCATGACAAAACCAAATTTACACAATACCTTTCCACAAACCTAGCCCTACTGTAGATCATAGATGGAAAACTCCAACACAATGAGGGAAATTACATCCTAGAGAAAAGCAACAGAGTAATCTTCTTTCAGCAAACCTAAAAGAAGATAGCCACACAAACATAATTCCATCTCTAACAACAAAAATAACAGGAAGTAACAATCAATGTTCCTTAATATCTCTTACTATTAACGGTCACAACTCCCCAATAAAAAGACATAGACTAACAGATTGCATACTTAAGTAACACACAGCATGTTGCTGCATATAGGAAATGCACATCAGTGTCGATGATAGATACTACTTCAGAGTAAAGGACGGGAAAACAATTTTCCAAGAAAATGTTCCCAAGAAACAATCTGGAGTAGCCATTCTAATATTGAATAAAATCAACTTTCAACAAAAAAGTTATCAAAAAAAGTCATCAAAAAAGATTAGGAAGGACACTTCATATTCATCAAAGGAAAAATCTACCAAGAGGAACTCTCAATTCTGAATATCTATGCTCCAATTGCAAGGGCACCCACATTCATTAAAAAAAAATCTTTACTAAAGCTCAAAGTACACATTGCACTGCAGACAATAATAGTGGGAGACTTCAACACCCCACTCTAATAAATAGACAGATCATGGTAACAGAAACTAAGCAGAGACACAGTAAAACTAACAGAAGTAAGGGACAAAATGGATTTAAAAGATATCTAGAACATTTCATCCTAAAACAAATGAATGTATGAATGTACCTTAATCTCAGCACCTCATGGTACCTCCTCCAAAACTGACCATATAATCAGTCACAAAACAGGGCTCAACAGATGTAAAAAGAATGAAATAATCCCATGCATCCTATCAGATCACCACAGGCTAAGGCTTGTCTTTAGTAACAACATAAACAATAGAAAGCCCACATAAACATGGAAGCTGAACAACACACCCTACTCAATGATAACTTGGTCTAGTAAGAGATTAAAAAAGAAATTAAAGTCTTTTTAGAATTTGATGAAAATGAAGGCATAACATACCCAAACTTATGATACACAATTCAAGCAATGCTAAGAGGAAAACTCATAGCTGCCTATAAAAAGAAACTGGAGAGAGCATATGCTAGCAACTAAACAGCACACCTGAACGCTCTAAGAACAAAAAAGAAGCAAATATACCCAAGAGGGGTATACAGCAGGTAATAAATTCAGTGCTGAAATCAACCAAATAGAAACAAAAAGAACTATACAAGGAATCAACAAAACCAGGAGCTGATCCTTTGAGAAAATAAACAAGATAGATAAAATCTTAGCCAGACTAACCAGAGGGCACAGAGGCAGTATACAAATTAAAATGAAATCAGAAATGAAAAGGGAAATATAAGAATAGAAACTGAGGAAACTAAAAAAAAAATCATCAGATCCTACTACAAAAGCCTATACTCAACAAAACTAGAAATTCTGGATGAAATGGACAGTTTTCTAGACAGATACCAGGCACCAAAGTTAAATCATGACCAGATAAACCATCTAAACAGTTCCAAAACTACCAAAGAAAGAGGAGTCATTAAAAATCTCCCAAACTAAAAAAACCCACCAGGACCAGACATGTTTAGTGCAGAATTATATCAGACCTTCAAAGAAGACCTAATAACTGATACTCTTTAAACTATTCCACAAAATAGAAAGAGAAGGAACACTACCCTATTTGTTCTATGAAGCCACAGTTACACTGGTACCAAAACCACACAAAGAGTCAATAAAGAAAGAGAAGAAAATCAGACAAATTTTCCTTATGAATATTGATGCAAAAATACTCAATAAAATTCTCACAAACGGAATCCTAAAACACATCAAAATGATCATTCAAAATGGTCAAGTAAGCTTCATCATAGGGATTCAGAGATAGTTCAATAAATAGAAATCAATCAATGTAATCCTCTACATAAACAAACTCAAAGGAAAAAAAACACATGAAGATCTCATTAGATGCTGAGAAAGCATTTGACAAAATTCAACACCTCTTCATGGTAAAAGTCTTGGAAAGATTTGGAATTCAAGACCCATACCTAAACAGTAAAAGCAATATACAGCTAGCCAGTAGCCAACATCAAACTAAATGAAGAGAAACTTGCAGCAATGCCACTAAAATCAGGGACTAGACAATGCTGCCCACTCTCTCCCTACGTATAAAATATAGTACTTGAAGTCCTAGCCAAGGCAATTAGAAAACAAAAGAAAGTCAACGGGATACAAATTGGAAAGGAAGAAGTCAAAATATCACTATTTGTACATGGTATGTTGGTATACTTAAGGGACCCCAAAACTTCAACCAGAGAACTCGTAAACTTGATCAACAATTTCAGAAAAGTGACTGGATATAAAATTAACTTAAACAAATCAGTAGCCTTCCTCTATTGAAAGGATAAACGGGCTGTGAACAAAATGGAAATGACACCCTTCACAATAGTCACAAACAGTATAAAATATTTTGGTGTGACTCTAACCAAACAAGTGAAAGATCTGTACAACAAGAACTTCAAGACTCTGAAAAATAAATTGAAGAAGACCTCAAAATATTGAAAGATCTCTCATGCTCATGGATTGGAAGGATTAATATAGTAAAAATGGAAATCTTGCTGAAAGCAATCTACAAATTCAATGCAATACCCATCAAAATTCCCACTCAATTCTACATGGAGTTAGAAAGAGTAATTCTCAAATTCATTTGGAATAACAAAAAACCCAGGATAGTGAAAAATATTCTCAACAATAAAAGAATTTCTGGGGGAATCACCATCAAAAGCTGTACTACAGAGCAATAGTGTTAAAGACTGCATGGTATTGATACAGTGACAGGCAGGTGGATCAATGGTATAAAATTGAAGACTTAGAAAATGAACCTACCATCACCTGACCTTTGACAAAGAACTTAAAAACACCCAGTGGAAACAGATAGCAGTTTTCAACAAATGGTGCTCATTCAACTCGTGGTCGACATGTAGAAGAATGCAAAATGATCCATTCTTATCTCCCTGTACAAAGCTCAAGCCCAAGTGGATCAAGGACCTACACATAAAACTAGATACACAAAAAGTGATAGAAGATTAAGTAGGGAAAAGCCTCTAACACATGGGCACAGGGGAAATTTTCCTGAGCAGAACACCAATCCCTTATGCACTAAGATCAACAACAGACAAACAGGATCTCAAAATTACAAAGACTCTGTAAGGCAAAGGACATTGTCAATAGGATAAAATGGACCCAACAGATTGAGAAAAACTCTTTACCAAGCCTACATCCAATACAGGGCTAATACCCAATATATACCAAGAACACAAGAAGGTAGACTACAGAGAACCAAATATCCCTATTTAAAAATGGGGTACAGAGCTAAACAGAGAATTCTCAACTGAGGAAACTCAATGGCCAAAAACACCTAAAGAAATGTTCAACATCTTCAGTCATCAGGGAAATGCAAATCAAAACTACCTTGCGATTCCACCTGACACAACTCAGAATTCTTAAGATCAAAAACTCAGATGACAGCAGATACTGGAAAGGATGTGGTGAAAAAGGAACACTCTACCATTGTTGGTGGGATTGCAAGCAGGAACAAATACTCTGGATGTCAGTCTGACAGTGCCTTAGAAATTTGGACATAGTACTACCTGAGGAAGCAGCTATACCACTCCTGGGCATATACCCAGAAGATGCTCCAACATGTAATAAGGACACACGCTCCACTATGTTCATAGCAGCCTTATTTATAATTGCCAGAAGCTAGAAACAATGCAGATGTCTCCCAACAGAGGAATGGATACAGAAAATATGGTACATTTATGCAATGAAGTACTACTCAGCTATTAAAAACAATGACATCATGAAATTCACGGGAAAATGGATGAAACTTGAAATATCATCTTGAGTGGGGTAACCCAGTCACTACAAGAACAATCATGGTATGCACTCACTGATAAGGGATATTAGCAAAAAAGTTTGAAATATCACGATAAAATTCACAGACCATATGAAGTTCAAGAAAAGGGAAGACCAAGTTAGGGATATTTCAGTATTTCTTAGAAGGGGAACAAAATATTCACAGGAGGAATTATAGAGATGAGGTGTGGAGGAAGGAGAGAAGGAAAGGCCATCCAAAGACTGTCTCACCTGGGAATCCATCACATATACAGTCCCCACACCTGGATGCTATTGTGGATGCCAGAAAGTGCTTGCTGACAGGAGCGTAATATGGCTGTCTCCAGAGAGGCTCTGTCAGAGTCTGACAAATACACAGGCAGATGCTCACAGCCAACAAATGAATTGAGTGTAGGGTCTCCGATCGAGGAGATGGAGAAGGGACTGAAGGAGCTAAAGGGATTTTCAGCCCACCGGGAAGAACAACAGTGTCAAACTGCCAGACCTGCCAGAGCTCCTAGGTACTAGACCGCCAACCAAAGAGTACACATGGAGGGACCTATGACTCTGGTCACATATGTGGCAGAGGATGGCCTTATTGGACATTAGTGGGAGGAGTGGCCCTTGGGCCTGAGGTGGCTTGATGCCCCAGTGGAGGAGAATGCCAGGGAAGGTAGTCTGGAGTGGGCAGGTTGGTGGTGGAGAAGCAGAGGGAAGGGTGATGGGATAGGGAGTTCTGAAGGGGAGACCTGGAAAAAGGATAACATTTGAAATGTAAATAAAGAAATTATCCAATAAAATAAAAAAATGAAATTTTAGCTCAACTTTAAACACTATAATGTGTTTTTTTCCTAACTCAATATCTTTATGCTACTTTAGGCTACTGAAATAAACATGAATACTTTGAGAGAAGAGATAGTAGCATAAAGAAACATGTTAGCATAAGAAATACTTTTCTATCGCTAATGATGATAGATCATGAATCAAAATGCAGAAATTACAAGCCAAGGCCCAACACTCTAGGAAAATATAAGAACAGCTACTGCTACCTTCCATGGGAGAGGAGCCTGGAGGACACTTTTATCATGTGAGTCTCCTTCCACTCTGAGTGACAGCTCCTCATGCAGTGCCTGGGCAATGGCATATACAGCAGCATGGACTTTGTAGCTATAGGATGAGGTATTCATATCCCAAAGATGCAGAGGTCGTGTGCTCAGGCTGCCATTTTGCTCACATTGACTCAGTTCCTTGATCCAGTGCTGAGAGAAACGTGGACATTCAAATATGATCGACCACACATCCTGGATAAAGATATCATGAGGATATTTTTTAGGATGAACACTTCCAAGAAAATCCTTGAATCCCAGAATTTCATCGATATGAACTGAAAATGATAATCCTCCACCAAAGTATGGATAAACTAGATTTTCTTCAAAGGGTAATGTGGTGATATACCAATCAGAAGTTGTGATCCAGACATTACCAATAGGACCATAAAAAGCAATGATAGGGACAGTCATCAGAAAAGCATGTGTGTCACCAAATACAACGATCACGTGTGTCAATTGGACACTTTCCATAAAAGTGTCCCAGTATGTTTCATCCAGAGAAGGAAATACTAGACCCTTTTCTGCAAATGCAACACAAAGTCCATGTTTGGTCATCTCTTCTGTGATGTCCCTAACGAAGACTTCTCCACTCATATCATCTGGAACCAACAGACCAACCCAGACCCAAGTGAAGTATAGCAGCAGTTGAATAATTCCCTGATGCAGAGCTGTGGTGTATGTAGTAAACTGGTAAGGAGACTGGAGCTGGACTCCAGTCCCAAGACTCTGGTCAAAAGGAGCATAGCTGATCTAAACAGAAAGAAAGTTACAACTCAAGTCAAGGCAATTAGGTTTATTGTCATGTGATTTGGTTTACCTTTTCTGTTTACTCACTCTAGGAGAAATTAAACAGTTAAATAACTTTACAAAGAAATACCAATTTGTTATCTATGTCACTTACTACTCACTGTGTACACGAAATGTATATTAATCATTGTACTTTTACAGAATATATCAAAAAGGGCCATGGAGTGTCTATCTCCTGATCTCAGTTAAGGCAATACCTATCAAACAGGAGCATTTGCAAATCTGTCACATCCCATACCAAAACATTCACCATTCTGATAATGAAAGTAGAGAAACATTAACACAAAGGCCCTTTTAATTGAAGTCACAAATACATCACTAATTAACCAATAAACAGGAATCTGAGAAGCATTGTAAAACCCACTAGTGACATCTATATTTGGCTAGAAGTTCCTATGTATTTGTCTTTCTGTAATGCTAGCTCCGTAGTCAACTAACCTGAAATAAGCTTGCTTAGGTTAGAAGGCTGACTATCTACCACAATGCTTGTTGTAAAGTCTCTCTTTTAATAGGACCCTCTGGTCACTCCCATCACATTCCTATCCTTCTCAACAGAAAACTTGAGTTGAGTTGTCTACACTGTCATTCCTATGCACTTTATGGCATCTGCTCTGAGATGGGGGGTAGACTAGATCATTAATTACCTAATCTGTGATATCCAATGAGAAATTACCAAATTCACTGCACTTAGTCTAATATTGGCATGAAACAATGCTTTTCCTTAAGATGTGCTCTTTAATGAGTTTCTGGATTCTTTCTTTAGTCAAAGAACATATTTCCAAAGTTTGGCCAACACTATCAGTCTGCCTTACAGAATCTTCTATCTCTCGCTACACTGGTGGTATCAGAATATCCTCCTGTCCCATGGCTCAGACTGGGAATAGATCCCCTTACCACACATATTCCCTAAATAATAATCTCCTAAAATCAGAAGCCCACTCGGTCATGCCCTAATGTACGGTTCATAACCTGGGTTTATGCACTGTTTTCTCCCCAGGCATCTGAGTTTAGATCCTTAGTGAACATTTCACTTATTAGTTCCAGTATCATGATAATTGAATAACTAACTCAATAGATGTTAATTGATTGGGGGAGAGGGGTGGACGGGGAGAAGGAAAAGGAATAGGAAGCAAGGAATCATGAAATGGAGCAAACATGAATACTTTGAGGAAGGAAACAGTAGCATAAAGAAATATTTAATATCTAGTAAATGCACAAAAGTAAGGAATTTAAATAGATGACACATGACAGTACAGAATTTATAGTAATAAACACTGATAATGAGTCCATGAGTCCCATGAAACTAAATTAAGTAGTAAAACATAATTTAAATTATGTTTTATTAATTAACATAAATATGTTAATTCAACATATTTCTAAAAATCTGAGTGAACTATTTTTAATCCATAAATTAAAAAAAAAATCTGAAGTGTGACAAACTACATTCCAAAGATATGACAAGGGTCTGTGGTGGAGAGACCTGTTGTCCTGCAGACAGGACAAGTCCAGGCTTCTTTCTGGCCTCCAATCCAGGTGTTGCTCTCAGAAGATGCTGTTACTCAAGGACATGGGCTGAAAAAGCAGAAGAGCTTTACTTTGTCACTCCCTATGACTCAGGAGAGAACTGACTGTCTCCCACTGACCTCCTGTGGAGGATGAGAATGGGGAGGAACAGCCCCTCACAGAGGCTGCAGCACATGGACAGGCCTGTGTGAGGCTGCCTCAGGAGACAGGTATGGAAATGGAAGGTCACGATGATAACAAACTGAAGAGTTAGGAGGAGGCTTGGCTCAGGCGGTTTATGGAGGGAGGACTTAGTTCACTGTCTTGCTGACGAGGAGGTGACCTCAGACTCAGACTGTAACTGTGGAGTCTGATAGGCCCAAGCCTGAGGGGACGGAAGAGTAAACTACAGTGCTATACATGCATGAAGATGTCATGACAAATCCATTATTTTGTAAGATACATGCATTATATACGTATATAATTATGAGGCTGAGGAGGTGGCTCAAGGCCTGCATTAGAATCCTCAGCATCCCCATAACAAGTCAGACATGGCTGTGTGTGCTTGTACCCTAACTTAGCAGGACAGAGACAGGTAAATTCCTAGAGCCTGCTCACTCCTCAGCTCAAAATCTCAAGCTTCCAGTTCAGTAAAAGTTCCTGATTTGAGACAGCAGTGTAGAATGTGTTAATGGAGGAATGTCTGGCCTCCAGGTATACTGACTGGCCTACCCTCACAGTTCTGGCATACACCATATGTGCCACACTTACCACACGAACATACACACACACACACACATGCACAAACACACACAAATGGGCACACACATACTTATGCACACCCACAAGTGCACATACGTGTGCCAGCACACATGCACACATACACACACACACACACACACATCATCATCAAACACAAGTACACACTCATGCACACACACACATACACACACATGAAAGCACACACACTGAAAGAGAAAGACAGAGACATAGACAGAGAGAGGGGAGGGAGACTAAGAGAGAAAAAGAATAAGCAACCATGGCACCTCCATGAAATGATAATTCCTCAGTACTAGAAATCAAAGAGAATAGTCAAAATGCCGTGAAAGCAGATGCCAGAGTTGCTTTGTTGTGTAGAGTAACCAATATTCACAAATAATCACAAGCAGGGCTCACATAAGCAGGTAATTGCAATAAGACAATCAATTCTCAATCTAAAAAGAACTTAGCAAATAGGTATTTGGTGGAGAAAATTTTAAAATGTGGAGGAAAAATCTGGAAAAAAAAGATAAATAAATAAACTTGCTGAAAATTAAAATCCAAGTCAGTCAAATGAAAAACCACCACTGAACAACCTTTGTAAATTTTCTTCAACTCAAGGATGCACTCTGGAAAATGTGAAAATGAATCAAGAAACACAGATGTGAGCCTTAGGAAACAGAGGACCTAAATACAGAACTGATTGAGAACAGACATAGAGCGATCAGGCTGGAGAAAAGAAAAAAGGGAAAGAAAGGCGGATCTGTCATATGTAAAGTTGGAATAATTTGCTTATACTAGGGATTCATTTACATAGACTAGAGATGTTTACTTGTTCTACATGGAAAAACTCAAACAAAGATGCCAGCATGGTAAAGGAAAGGAAACATGTACAGAATACGGTCTGCAGTACAGCACTGTCAGCTCCACAGTTTATGCTTAAAAAGTGTGCAAGTGGATGACTAAAAGAAATGACAAACATGTCTCAGGATGTCGTGAGAACATTGAAGTTGTTGGGTTAGGCCGTGTGCATAACCATCAGTGGCCACAGGCAGCCTACTGGCCACAAGTGGAAGAGAAAAAATTGAATTTCAGCTACTAAAAATGAGGACATCAAGAATTTTGTAGACGAATGGATAGAACTAGAACACATCACCCTGAGTGAGGTAAACCAGACCCATACTTTTCGAGTATGTGTTCAATGATAAGTGGGTATTAGCCAAAAAGTACAAAATTACTATTAGTTAGAATGAGCCAAAAAGACAGGACACCCAGTGGAGACATGGCGTCACTAGATCACTCTCAAAATTTTGACTGAGAATTGTTCTTGTCTATTAGAAATGCAGGCACAAAAATGGAGCAGGTAGTAAAGGAAAGGTCATCCAGTGATTAGACAACTTGGGATCCAACCCATGACTGACCACCAAACCACAGCACTGTTAGTGATACCATGTTGCACTTGCAGACAGGAATCTAGCATGGTTGTCCACTGTGAGGCTCTATCAGCAGTTGACTGAGACAGACACAGATACTTACAGCCACCCATTGGAATGAGGTTGGGAACCCTATGGAAGAGTTAGGGATAGGACTGAAAGAGCAGCCCCATAGGAAGACCAAGAAGATAAACTAACCCAGAGCCCTGGGAACTCCCAGAGACTATGTCACCAACCCAAGCACATCCATGGGTTTGTCTGTGGACCCACAGCACATATGTAGCAGAGAACTACCTAGTCTGGCATTAGTGGGAGAGGTTGTGCCTAATCCTGTAGAGACTGGATGTCCCAGCAAAGGGAGATGTTGGTGGGGCATGTTGTGGGAGGAGTGGGGGTGGAGAAGCACTCTCTCAAAGGCAAAGGGTAGGGGAGATGGAGTTAGGATCTCTGAGAGGAAGACCAAGAAGGGGGCAACCTTTGGAATGTAAATAAATCTGTGTCCAAAATGAGCCAAGTACAATTATATACACATTTCTTCTAAATAATTGTATTCAATATAAATGTCATAATAACTATATATCAAAAGTAACATATGTAAAAGAAGAACTATAATTCCTGAAGATGCAGCCATACTGCTACTGGGCATATACCCAAAAGATTCTCTAACATATAACAAGGACATGTACTCCACTATGTTCACAGCAGCCTCACTTATAATAGGCAGAAGCTGAGAAGAACTCTGATGTCTCTCAATGGAAGAATGGATACAGAAAATGTGGTACATTTTCACAATGGAATACTACTCAGCTCTTAAAAATAATGACTTCCCAAATTTTGCAGGAAAATGGATGGAACTAGGAAATATCATCCCGAGTGAGACAACCCAGACCTAAAAGGACATACATGGCATATACACTCACTGATAAGTGGATATTAGCCCCAAAACATAGAATACTCACCTGTAGAAAACAAAATGATGGGACGAACCTCCAGAAAGTCCCAAGTGCAGGGGATGTGAGAAGCTCCAAAGACACAATTGGGATGATGACATTTGCTGCAGTAACCAACAGAGGAGCCATAGAACCTGAAGAGAACACCTCCAGAAGATAGGTATGGCAGCCAGTTGAGGGATGGAGCCACGCAACCATCTCAAAATTTTTAACAAGTATTGTTCCTATCTAAAGGAAACTTGGGGGCAAAAAAAAATGGAACAGAAACTGAAGGAAAGGCCATGCAGACGTTGCCCCACCTTGGGATCTATCATATCTGCAGACACCAAACCCAGAAACTATTGCTGATGCCAAGTACTTGCAGACAGGAGCTAGTACAGCTGTTCTCTGAGAGGCTCTGCCAGCACCTAACTGAGACAGTTGCAGATACTCACAGCCAACCGTTAATCTGAGCCCAGGAAGCCCAGTGGAAGAGTTTGAAGGAGCTGAAAGGGATTGCAACTCCATAGGAAGAACAATATCAACAAGCTGGACCCCTCAGAGGTCCCATGGACTGAACCACCAACTAAAGAGTATACGTGGATGAGTCCATGGCTCCTGCTACATGTATAGCAGAGGACTGCCTTATCTGGAACAAAAGGGAGGGGAGGCACTTGGTCCTGTGGAGGCTTGTTGCCCCAACCAAGGAGGATGCTAGAGGGGTGAGGCAATAGGGGTGGGTGTTTGGGGAGGTACCCTTTTAGAGTCAAAAAAGAGGGGCAATGGAATGGAGGTTTTGGGGAGCTGAGACTGGGTAGGGGGACAATATTAAAACAAATAAAATAACCAATTTTTTAAAATTAACTTATAAAATCTCATAAAAATAAAAATCTAGTGAGGCATGATGGAACATGACTTTTATCCCACCCTGGGCGAACAAGGCAGGAGGATTTCTGTAAGGCTATCCCAGGCTACATAGGAAATTCAAGACTGGGCAAGTTGGCATACTTAGAATCTGTCTCAAAAATAAACAAATAGGTAAAAATTAATAATAAAGATGAATGAACATGGCAGCCTAATTCATTTTACTAAGATTTAAGTTTCTTCACTGAAGCCAGTAGGAAACATTAAGGGCTGGATCACTGTTATTTGCAAACGAATATATTTCTAAGTAGCCTCTCCCAAGTTTATTACTAATTAAGATGCAATTGACTTATACATGCTAGCTCTGTAGAACTGTTTAGAAGAGATCATTACTGATCAACAGAAAGATTTTTTAAAAAATCAAATGTAAAATATTTCAGGCCAACAGAGGAAAATTGCAAACAGCCCAGATGTCCTGCCTGAGTAACTCTGACCCATAGTTCTTAGTAAAAATGAATTTTATGTGGCAATCTGAGCTGACACCACAGTAAAATAGCCAGAAATACATCCATAGTAGTTACTGTGAAGATGCGTTAGTAGAATTATTATAGTTCTCCTGTTTTGTGATGCTCTAAAACTGGATACAACAGAAAGACAGTATTAACAATGGTAAAAAGCAAAGGGAATTTTCTTGGAGGGGTAAGAACACAGGCTGTCATTACTTTTATGTATATTTTTTCAATTTTAACATTTTGAAATTAAATTTATTATATAAACATGATTTCATCTTATAAATAAATTATACTTCAGAGTTAAAAATAATAACTAAAAAGTAAATTATCAAGCAGTCTCATACCTCATCAATAGACAATAACTGAATTAATTAGCACTTATTACTATGTTACTATGTACAATCTAAGGAACCATGACTTTGCATACCTGTGGGACATTGTAGAGACTTAGAACTCGGGAGATCTGAGTTGATATTCCTGTTGACATGCCTCCTATCACAGCAACCAGCTTATCAGTCTTCTCAGGCCTGCAGCTGTAGTTAGGAACTGGGGGGCTCTCTCCTGAGAGCAGAGCCATAGAACTCTCCACAGCCTTCAAATCAATAAAGTCAACATTGAAGAGATAGAATCCCAGGGACATGTTGAATAGAATATTTGGGTCTTTGTTAATATTTTCTATAGCAAAAACCATTGCCAACATGTGCTGATAATGTTTAGTGAGATCCCTAGGAGGAAAAATTGGAAAGACCACTTTTATGTTACATTTTTAATATTAATTTTTAATTAGGTGGTAATTATATCCTTTACCTCCCTCTTTTTTCTTCATGCAGTTCCTTCCATGCTACCTCTCAAATTCTGGATTTTTATTTATAACAGTCTATGTCATATAAGAATATTCACGCTATTCCAAGTAACAAGCAGGATATTCTATACTTAAAATATGGGAGAAAGAAGTCATAAAAAAGAAGATTCATAGGACAACTTATCATCAAATTCACAATTTTTGTTTCTGAATTTTTTGAGACAGAGTGTCATTTATTCAACCCAGGCTGAATTTAAACTCACTATGTACAATAGGTTAAACTCACGCTCCCAGAGATCCACCTGCCTCTGCTTCTCAAGTTCTGGGATTAAAGGTTTGATTCACAATATACAATAAAATGTACATCAAATGTACAATTTTCACTTTTTACTGTGCAAATTGTGTCTGAGAAATTAAAATATAGGAGTAATGCATTGTGAAATAGTGAACATTAAAACTTTGTATTTCATGTAGTCTTCAAAAATAGAATAAACCTCAGGAAAGTTCACAGTGCTTGATCAACCACAACAATTGAAAGAAAATAGTATCAAGTACATTGAAACAGGAAAAATGAAATGTTCTTAGTACAATCCACTAAATAACTACAAAGAAAAATTGTTTTTTACTACAAAGTGATTTCAACAACTTCTTACATATTTAAGAGAATTCAGTGTGTGTAGGGGAGAGACACACAGCCCATCATGGCTGAGTAGCTATTGGCACTTGGAGGCTCCTGGGGAAGGGAGTCAGTTTCCTTAGGAGGTTTGCCCTAGTAGCTTACCTATACTCTAGATAATGTCCTATACTCTCACACTACTGGCATGCCTAAATGAACTCAGTAGATTAAAAATTGAGAGTGTGTGAGAGACAGAGAGACAGACAGAGAGCCAGAGAGCCAGAGAGACCCCATAAAGTTGAAGACAGGGGACATGGAAGGAGAAGCAGCAGAAGTGGTAAGATCAACATATATTGTATTCATGTATGAAATCAATATATTTTTTAAAGAGAGCAGTCAAATACTTACACAGAAACAAATTCCGGAATATACAACGTATCATTAAAGCCAAATATACTCCTTGTGTCTCCAGAGGTCACTCTAAGGGAAAAGAGTCCTCCAATCACAAAATCCCCATCTTGATAGTAGCCAGGAGAAGCAGGTATATTTAAGGAGAAACAAGAAATTTGTTCCTGGAATACAATGAGAACAATCAGAAGAGAGAGTAATTTCATACTAACATTGATAAATAATTAATAAAACCAAGAAATCTGTTCAGTTGAGAATCTTGGACTAATCAACCCCAATAGCACATCAGCTAACTGATAAAATATGTGTCTGTCTGGTCCATGTGGATAGAGTTTATAAAGCATTGTTTTGTTCTGATACAGGCACACCAGTATCCAAATGCTCCCTCACTTCCTGAGAAGATAAACTGTGTTGCACATACTTAGCCCTAGATTATGACCCCTTCACAGAGTCACTGTGAGTCCCCAAGGGTTCAGGAACCTCTCACTTGGCACCTGGGAATCCTGATTCTTAGCAGGAAAACACACAATTAGAAAAAGTGTGAAGTCCTCTAAAACACCTGCAGGATGTGTACACTCACTGAGCTGAGACTTCACAAGGTCCTAAGGTAAAGGGAAACTAACCAGTTCAAGTATAATTAAGTCATGAAGGGTCATGTGAAGGAAGCATCAAAGGGCTCAGTGTTTGTGGGGGGAAAGGCTGGGCCCTTTATCATTTAACATCAGTGTTATTTTAGAGTATTTCTGTGAGGCAAAGCCAAAGACTTACATTAGAAAACATTATTTCTGATCACTATATTGGCTCTTGTCAGTATCAACTTGTTTATTTTTTGTTGGATATTTTATGTATTTTCATTTCAAATGTTATCACTTTTTCTGGCTTCCCCTCCGGAGACCTTTTATCCCATATCCTCCCATCCCATATCCTCCCCCTGTTTCTATGAGAGTGCTTTACCACCCACCCACCTACTCCCACCTCACCGACCTGTCATTCCCCTACACTGGGGAATCTAGCCTTCACAGAACCAAGGACCTCCCTCCCATTGATACCAAACAATGCCTTCCTCTGCTACATATGTGGCTGGAGCCATGAGTCCCTCCATGTGTATGCTTTGGTTGGTGGTTTAGTCCCTGGGAGTTCTGGGGAGTCTGGTTGGTTGATATTGTTCTTCTATGGGGTTGCAAACCCCTTCAGCTCCTTCAGTCATTTCTCTAACCCCTCCACAGAGGAAATCCCTGTGCTCTGTCTAATGACTGACCCTGAATATCTACCTCTATATTTGTCAGGCTCTAGCAGAACCTCTCAGGAGACAGCTATATCAGGCTCCTGTCAGTAAACACTTCTAAGCATTAGCAATAGTGTCTGAATTTGGTGGCTGCATATGGCATGGATCCCCAGGTGGGACAGTCTCTGGATGGCTTTTCTTTCAGTATCTGTTCCACTCTTTTCCCCTGTATTCCTTTTAGACAGGAGCAATTCTAGATTAGAATTTTTGAGAAGGGTATGTGGCCCGATCCCTCAACTGAGGTTTGTTCCTAACCTGTGGATATGGTCTGAACAGGTTCTCTCTCTCCTTTGTTGGATATTTCAGCTAATGTCAACCTCATTGGGTCCTGGGAGTCTCTTGCTATCATGGCATCTGGGACTTTCTTGTAGCTACCCACAGTGTCGTCATCTCTCATTGCTACACACCTCTGTTCAATTTCTTGACCCTCTGTATATCTCCCCTGTTGCCTCTCATATGTGATCCTGCCCCCATTTTTCCTCTCCCCCTCCTCTCTTCATCCCAAGTCCCTCCCATTCTCTACCTCCTGGGATTATTTTGTTCCCCTTTCTAAGAAGAACTGAAGTATCCACACTGTGGTCTTATTCTTCATATTGTCTGTAAGCTATATCATGGATATTCAGAGCATTTTTCCTAATACCCACTTATAAGTGAGTATATATCACGTCTCTGTTACCTCACGCAAGATAATATTTTCTAGTTTCATGCACCTGCTTGTGAATTTCATGAATTCATTGTTTAAAATAGCTGAGTAGTACTCCGTTCTGTAAATGTACCACATGTTCTGTACCCATTTCTCTGTTGAGGGATATCTGGCTTGTTTTGAGCTCCTAGCTATTATAAATAACACAGATATGAACATGATTGGTATGTGTCCTAGTTATAAGTTGAAGAATCTTTTGGGAATTCCAGGAATGGAATAGCTGGGACCTATATCCAAATTTGGATATAGTCGTACTATATCCAAGTTTCTAAGGCACTGGCAGAATGATTTCCAGAGTGCGTGTACCTGTTTGCAATCCCACCAACAATGGAGGAGTGTCCCTCTTTCTCCACATCCTCACCAGCATCTGTTGTCACCTGAGTTTTTGATCTTAGTCATTCTGACGGATGTGAAGTGGCATCTCAGAGTTGTCTTGATTTGCATTTCGGTGAAGACTAATAATACATTTCGTTAGGTGCTTCTTGGCCATTCCATATTCCTTAGTTGAAAATTAAACTAGAAAATTTGAAAAATCACCAGATCATATGACAAAAGCCTTTACCCAACAAAATTGGAAAATCTGGTTGAAATGGATAATTTTCTAGACAGATACCAAACACAAAATTTAAATCAGGATCAGATAAACAGTCTTAACAGTCCCATAACCCCTAAAGAAATAAAAGCATTCATTAAAAGTCTCCCACCATAAAAAGCCTAGGACCAGATAGGTTTAGTGCAGAATTCTATCAGACATTCAAAGAATACCTAATACTAATTCTCTTCAACCTATTCCACAAAATAGAAACAGAAGGAACACTACTCAATCCGTTCTATGAAGCCACAATTATACTCATAACTAAGCCACACAAAGACAGAACAAAGAAAGAAAACTTCAGACCAATCTTCCTTATGAATATCGATACAAAAATACTCAATACAATCCTTGCAATTGAATTAAAAAGCACATCAAAACAATCATCCATTATGATCAAGTAGTCTTTACCCCAGGAATGCAGGGATAATTCAATATTTGAAATTCATCAACATTATCCACTATATAAACTAACTCAAAGGTAAAAAACACATGATCATCTCACTAGATGCTAAGAAAGCATTTGACAAAATTCAACATCCTTTCATGGTAGAAGTCTGGGAAAGATCAGGAATTCAAGGCCCATACCTAAACACAGTAAAAGCAATGTACAGCAAATCAGTAACCAACATCGAACTAAATGGAGAGAAACTTGAAGCAATCCCACTAAAATCAGGTACTAGACAAGGCTGCTCACTCTCTCCCTACCTATTCAATATAGTACTTGAAGTCCCAGCCAGAGGAATTAGACATCAAAAAGAAGTCAAAGGGATACAAATAGGAAAAGAAGATGTCAAAATATCACTATTTGAAGATGATATGATAGTATACTTAAGTGACCCCAAAAATTCCACCAGAGAACTTCTAAACCTGATAAATAACTTCAGCAATGCATCTGGATATACAATTAACTCAAACAAATAAGCCTTCCTCTACTCAAAGGATAAACAAGCTGAGAAAGGAATTAGCTAAAACACACTTTTCACAATACTCACAAATACTATAAAATACCTTGGTGTGAATCTAAGCAAGTTAAAGATTTGTATGACAAGAACTTCAAGAACTTCAAGTGCCTGAAGAAAGAAATCAAACGTGTATTTTTGACATCTTATATTATATATGCTCATGAAATACAGTGATTTGAAATATGTATGTATTGTGAAAATTAAATATAAATTTTTAATTCACATAGTTTTTTTCAAGTATTGGCATTATTTTAAATTTATGTACTTCAAAGAATATAAATCAAAGAACATTACTAGCTTTAAAAAAGAAGTCTATAGTGTATTAGGTCCAATGTATTAATCTTTTGTTTTTTAATCTTTTTTAATATAATTTATTTATTTTTTTTCAAATTGTAATTTTTGTTTTTTAATCTTTAATCCTTTTTTACAGTCCAGACTTTATCCCTCTCTGGGTTTGTGCCCCAACCCCTACTCATTCCATATGTTCTCCATTCTCCCCACCCCCCGTGTTAATTTTTTTCTCTGCCTTTGTTTATTCATTTCTCTCACTCACTCATATATTCATTCATTCATTCATTCTTCAGTGCAGACACGGTAGGAGATGGACCCTGCAGCATGGTGCATGCTAGGCAAGTACTCTACCACAGAGTCATGTCTTAGCTTTTATACATCTCCAAAAGACTAAGTTTCCCAGGTTGTCCTTGAATTTGTGCTCATCCTGTCTCAATCTTCTGATTAGTCGAGGTTACATGTGTGCATCACCAAGCCTGTTAACATAGTTTGATGTGAAAAATACATATTTGTAATAACAAATTCAGATGTGTAAAGAGATATGTCATTTGGGTTTTTTTAATCAAAAGTATTTCTCATAAAATCAAGAATAAAAAGGGTGCCTGTAATCTCTACTCACATTGAATTAAGAGCTTTAACAAAACAAGAGAAAGAAATGAAAAGAATACAAACAGGTAAGGAAGAGACCAGCTTGTCTTTGTTTGCAGATGACATGTTTCTGTGAGTGAAGGTCCTAAAATTCTTCCCCATTTAGATTGTCGAAAAAGTCCAGCAAAGTATAAAATACAAACATAATATTTAAAAAATTGTTATCTCCTATACCCAGTAGCAAATATATGGAGATAATCATATGCTCTTGCCCTCAAATGAAATACAAAGAAGGATTCAAGAGACATCACGCATTGAATAACACTATTTATTGTTACATCCTCATATGTAGCAGTTAGAGACCAAGGAAAAGAATATGTTCAAGGTGAAGCCAGAGAACAGCCATGAAAAGAGAACATTCATCTAGATATTGAGGAAGCCCCCAAAAAATCCTAAATGGGGTGAAAAATGAAAACTATTTTTATATCATTGTGGAACTGTAGAATTTTCAAATAAGTATAAATTGTAATCTGATTATTCACCATGTCAGTGTAAGTTAAAACAAAATGAAATATCAATTTATAATCCCAGTGTGACAAAAGTTAAGTTTAACAATGACTAAGTAATTTGTACAGATTGCATATTTTAGATACTGTATTGAGGCCCTAATTATTCAAATATAATTTAGAAAATAATTTGGTACATACTGACAAATTAATATTTATCACTACAATAATAATTATAAATTGAAATTCTAAATAATCTGTATGCCTATACACCAG